CCACACCTCTTTGCCTTTTTTTTTCTTTTTTGGCATTGGGTGTAGTCCAAATGTGTGCCACACCAAAGGGAGATGGTGGGAGGGGGGGTTCTCTCTGAAAATATATTAGAGGGAATGAAGCTGTCCCTCACTATTCACAGGTCAGGTACTGTGTTTTATCATGGAACATGCCTTCCATCGCCAGATGTATGCACATGGACAGCAAACAGTTCTCCCTCAAACTAACCCTAAAAAGGATTCCCAGTTAATTCTGTGTTTAAAGCAGGTATTACAAATATACACTTTGTGCAGTATTACCGGCTGCCAAGGCTGCTACACTGATAGCGCATTAAATAGAAAGAAAGCAAAAGAACTAAAGTAAGAGTCCGGTATGGAAGTCAGTGAACTTGTTTATAAATATGTTAACTCCATCTGAAATCTCAGTTTAGCCGTAAATATCAAGTCTTGATGGTGATGCTGAGGTGTTCAGTCTAATCTGAGGCCCATCCACTGTTTAGACAAAGAAGTCCAAAATTTTTCTACTATAAATGTTTCTCTTCGTCTTATCATTCTAAGTCCTCCTCCAACCTTCCAGGACGCTCTCCTTGTCCAAACATTTCAGGGAGCAGGCCTCAAGCATGGCGAGGTGTTTTGCGTGCCTCTTTAGGTGGGCTGCCGCTGACGATATGATTGCGTGGTTGGCACTGCTGAACGCAGACCACCCAGCAGGCAGCTGTTGCCATAATGACCAACAGGCCAGGCAGGAAACAGGAAACAGGAAGAAGAAGGCAGGACATCCTGTTCATCTAAACTAGTGTGTTAACCATGACATCATGAAAGTATCACTTTTTAATAAAGCATACCAGGCCAGAGGTCTCTGCTCTTAACTCATCTCAGCTCTCACCTCAAACAATTTTTTATCTCCATTTCTGTGTGTTTGTGTCTTTCTCTGACTTTCCGTGCATCTGTCTTCTCAGTTTGCCTTATCAGCCCTCACACTGACACTGTTTTCCAGACTGCTCCATCATCCCAGACATCAAATCCTACCCTCTTCAGTCAAGAATAAAGGGGGAGAAGAAATACACGCATTTTCATTTGAATATACACCAGCAACAACCTCACAAAAGTCTGAGGAAAAAAACACAAAAGCACAAACATTCAGATGCACAGAAACAAGACACAAACTTGAACGCACACACACACACACACACACACAGACAGTCAGCACATACTGAAAGGCAAACACACAAAGAAACACCAAAACACAAAGCACAGAACAGCCAGAAGTCTACTTTATGCAGAAATATTCTAAAGTGTTTTACAATACAATTAAACATCAAAGGCTGATATATTCCTCTGTGATCTTTAACACCCCAGTGAACAAACCCCATACACTCCCATCCACTTACAGCATACAAAGAAAGTTGCTGAACGTCACCGCTAATTACTAGATAGAGACAGAAGGAGACTTTGCATCATTATGCAAAAACCAGGACATATTCAAATATATGCATTCAACCTATAAACCAAGCAAGGACTGTGTTATTTACTTTATGTTACTATCATTAAGTTTTGTGAGTAATTTCAGCTCTTATGAAGATATACACGGTTCTCTTAAGGCAAAGAAACATTTGAGTAAACATTTCTAACATGCACAACAGTTTGGACAATGAAAGGGAGATCTGTTCAAAATGAGTACATAAACACATGGTGAGGTGGAGCCTGATGCTTTTCTTTGGTTGTACAAATATATTAAACCAAAAAAAGGAGACTTCTCCACCCATGTGAGAAAAAGAAGGAACACCTGCCTCATGCAATAAACAAGAATATAAGAAGCCCCCGATTTATTATAAAACTGAACTATTTTCATCTGTTAATAAACAGGCAAGAAACAATTTATAGTAAGGGTCTCCACATTATCTGTGTCAGATAAATTTACTGCAAAGAGAGCCTACCCTTTTTCTGTCACATGTGGATTTGAGGTTTTCTCCGCAACAGTTATCTGAGAGTACCCCCACCAAAATGCACTGCCTTATTTACAGGATATACAGGCCTTGATGCTTTAAGATATTGTATGATCCTTATAAATGAGCTTAACGTGACACTCTACAACTGACTCTTATATTCCCTTCTCATTTGAGCCAAAGGCATGAAGTCCAATTACATTTCTTCAGTATCCACTTCCAGATCTTGCCAGCCTGCAATCTGCAAATGAGTGTTTTACTGATGTTTAACTCAGCAAACTCTACAAACCCCTTCCAAAATATTTGAAACCATTAGTGAAAAAAAAATTAAGTATAGCAAAAGGTGCTATTAAATTATTTGCTTAAACATAAATGCTGCTGATGTTTCCATTAAGAATGTTTTCATAGATCTAGTTTTCCATAAGGAGGGGTTCTTGAAATGAGCCTTCTGTACAGTATTAAATGTCTTTGCTCTGATGCAGCACAGTGGTATACTTTACCCCTTCTGTTTTCAAAGATGCAATCTTGATGGCACGCATTTTACAGCACTGACTCTCTGTTCTGGTCATGCTTGTCTATAAAACTGAGCATTCACACATTTATGGGCATTATATGAGACATTTGTTTAAAAATATTAGCAAAAGTTCATCCTTTGCTTCTAACGTCCTTAGTGTTTTTAAAACACATGGCAAAATCCTTATCATGGCATACTATGTGTCACTTCCCTTCCCTTAACTAAGGCTTCACTGAGCCCCTTGTGCACAGCAAAGTGCCCTGACAGTCAGCTCAGTGCCCTGGCCAATCACAGGGACACCGGACCTTCTAATCCTTCTCTGTGAGAAGGGTAAGAGCATGTTGTCACTGCTGGTTTTGTGAATCAGTGCTTAAAATCCCAAATGATTTGTCAAAAGGTAAAGGTCTTAAGAGTGTAAGGGAAACAAACGCAGTGCAGGCCACACAGTGTGGGTGTCGATGTGTGAATGTGTGTGTGAGTGTGTGTGAACCTAACAGAAAGGAAAGAAAGGAGATAAACCATGCTTTTGTCTCTGCATTTGTGTGTGTGTGTGTGCATGTGCCTACGTTAATGCGTCTACATACATGCGTGTGAGTGCGTGTTTGTACAGGGTCTCTGAGATTACAGAGCTTGGTTGACAGAGTCCTCTGTGTGTAATTGTGGGCCCACATGCGAGCGCTCACCTTCCTCTGAGCGGATTAACCTAACGCTTAATCCCAAGAGAGCAACAGGCCAGACAGGCCATATAGAACAACTTCATTGACAATGGGCAGAAGAGGGAAGGCCATGTGTAAAATATTTTTAAAGACTAATATACTTTTATATTTTATTCATGAGTAAACAATTAATATAAAAACAGCAGAAATGGTTATAAAAGTAATAGGACATCACACAGAACACTACATCCTCTTAAGATGTAAAAACTGGAGCGCAAATGTTGCATTTACTTTATAGAGGCTGTAATTTAATGTTATTTCTTTAAAATTGAACTAAGTGTGAAATGCAGTCAGGCAGTAAATGACTGTGTATATGCTGTACATTCACACTCACAGATAAGACTGATATGCTGTTGCGGACAGCAACAATTTATCACTTAAAATCATTTACTTTTACTTTTCTAGAGTGCCTTCTAAATATCTCACTAATGAACTGTATTTCAAATGTAATCTTTTTTAATAGGTTTCAATGCTATACTGTGAATAGAATGGTAGTTTTATTAAGTTTGAGAAACTGCAGCTATCTCTACCTCAATACCTTTCTTTAAGCCTTTAAAATTGGCAGCATTTCAAAGATAAAATTATTGTTTAACTGGAGAACAATTTCACTAGAATATGGGTTTAGAGATCTACAGTACTTTCATGTTTATATTAATGAGCGTGAGATAAAGTGACAGAGCCAAATCAGTTCTAGTCACTTGGTCTAAATGAAAATGAAGTGTGATGCAGTAATTTCTATTTTTATTACCACCCTTAATGTGCAGATGTACATTTCATCAGTGGGCCTTCCACTCTTTACACGCAAAACAAATAAATCCATTTTTTTTATTTCTAATGCTGCAACCTGTGAACGTTGCCATAGGTTAATTATGGTGTCATTATGAATCCTCTCACTGCAACAGGTTCATGAAATTGAACTTAAGTCACTGTATTATCATTTTTGCTGAAGAGCAGTTAAGCCTAAACAACCTGAATTACAAAGTGACTAAATGTGAATCCATCCTGAACATGCCGAACCTTCTCTCTGTTATCACTGTGATTCTGATTTGTATGAATTAATGTTCCAATAGGCCTGAGAAACTGCGTTCTCCTGTGTTCCAGCTGGGAAATTGTGCTTGATGAATGTTTGCATCCTTGAGTCTTTTCTAATATATTTATAAAAAGCTGATGCATGCACAGGTTGTTTCATGTATAAATAACACAGGACAACTGTGATCATTAGTACGCTATATATCCACAGTGACTTCCCCTACTTTCTGTTGCTTTAATTGTAATAAAATACCTGAAATTTAAAAACTTCTGAAATGAATGTGTTTTCCCCAGTCTTTCTTTTTTTAAGTTTCTTTTCTCAGCTGGTAAAATTGTATAGATCAACTACTAAATCGCATTTAAACAACTAGTGTAACTTTTCATGTGGAATCTCACAGCGCATTGCATGAAAGCCTGTATGTTAGTATTAAGGAGAGCATATTCAGTAGCTGTGGCTTTGGGACTGTGCGCCTGCATGTGGACAAGATAAAGCTACACAAGGTCGACACAACAGTAACACTACCTAAAACACGAGACAGACCTTGACTCTCCCAATAGACCATAAACAGCTATTTGTTGTCAGCCTGTAATTATATGACATCGTTGTCACCAGGCATAAGCCGATCGGGGTCACAACAAATCAATAGACGCAGTTAGTGTACTTTGTTGAGGAGGCAGCGCGCATCAAAATAAACCCTCAAGTTTCCCTGTGGAAGATTAAAAATAACGATCGTATGGTGCAACTTGTCTCGTGGATGTTTGCGAGTGAGAGGCAAGTGGTGTGAGCACGGTACTTACTTTATTTCGCATGAAATCTTGTCCGGGTGAAGTGAAGGATACAACAAGAGGTCCGGCCGATTGACAGGAAAGCTGAAGCCGCTGCTTGGTGGGGACGGACTTCGCCAAGACGCACTTAAAATCCAGGAGCGCAATTTAGCACAGACGTTGCCGGGAGGAAAAAAGTAACCTACAGTACGTGGTAGGAGTCTGTATAATGTCAGAGAAAACTACTCCCTATCTCTCCCCCTCGTGCTCTCTCTCTCTCCCCCTCTCTCTCTCTCTTTCTCTCTCTCTCCGATCGGACAGTGTCTGCTCAGGAGGCGGTGAGCGCGCTTCGCCTGGTCTCTCTGCGAGGTGCCAGTGAGCGGAGAGGGACCCGGTGGAGCGTTGGAGTGGAGGTGGTGGAGGTGGTGCTGGTATACTGGTGTACTGTTGAGAGATTGTTTCTGTTCCTTCCCACAATCCTGACCGAGTCTTTTCCTAACCCTCTCTTCTCTCAATACGAGGAGAAATAATCGATTTTGTCTCTCTTTTTTGACTCCAGAAAGGGGGCGGTCTCACATTTCCCAACTCTGCTTTAATGGCACGGATCTTAATGCTTTATTATCGCGCCAGCCTCGATAGTTTGGACGCACAATTAACTGCTCAGAGGACCACTAGAGGAAGATGATGGAGAATGTGTGCTTTAACTAATGAAGCAACGGGGGGCACGTTAAGCGTTTGCAGCCGTCTTTAGGCAGCGAGATGCCGCCAAAGTTTTGTTTGTTTTGCTGTGGTTGATTGATTTTCTTGACTGTTGTTTCATGCATGTAACATGAAATGGCAATAATACTCAAACTTTAGCCAGCCACCCCCCAAAGTGTCAATATATACTAAACATCCACTTATATATCCTTAAGCAGTATCCCCTGTTTCAAGAAGTTTTTGTATTGGCAGAAAAAACATAAAACAGTAACATGAGGTGAAAAAGTTAATTGTCTCACCTCAGTATATACAGATTTTTAAAACTATTTGCATTATATACACTATACTTCTTACACTGGATTGATTTATAACCCCAAAATAATGCTATCATTCAGTTCTCAGTAAATTTCTTTCATGTCTGTGCTGCATGGAATCTGCCTCTTTCTGAGTCACTACAAAAAATGTTTCACCCCCTGCATGCTGCCAATCATTCTCTAAGACCTAGTTATCTTCTACAGATAAGCCCTGACTCAGACAGTAACCATGAGGGTATTACCAAGCCTTTATCATCCAACCAAATGATTTCAAAACATCCACTCTATTAGTGTGAAGATAACAATTAGAACAGCAAGTTTGCCACTTCAGATAAGACACAGACAGGCAGTGCAATGGCTTTCTGTACAGAGATGTATCAGAGATAGGTCTGGTAATATCGCCGTTCTATTATACTCACATTATATGGATTCCGTATCAGTTCAGAGATTTTTAGTTGCTGTCTTCACTGAAGCTTCTTATACTCTCATACACCATCAGCTCTCACTCTTGAGTTGTCATCAATTCATTAACAAAAAAGGAACATATAAATTCCTAGATTTGAATTAACATGGGTCTTTGGCCTTTGGCAAGAGTATCCTTGGATGCTCAAGTTTACAGTTGATAATCTTTACCATTTCCATACTAAAAAACTTAAATGACAGTGTTGCCCATTACTTTTTCCTCATTAGGGTGAAACTTTTAATCATATCCTTACCTTCACTTTTTTACCAGTAGTGCACCATCTACTTTTTACTGAAAATATTTGTCTATTCAAACATAATAAACTTTTCCATTTAAATGCAGACAATCAGCGAGGCATTTCTCTTATGAGCTTAGGTTTGCAGTACATCCATAAGTGGACACCAAGCAGCACCCTAATCTCTCCGTTCTTTTGAGGTTCACCTGTAAAGCTTAAGTCATGGTTGCAGCCAGCCACCGAGTCAGTCAGTCAGTCAGTCAAGGTAGGAAATCAGTTAATAAATAAATCAAGATGGCTAATCTGCTTGACGGGCGGACATTACTGCCTGTAACTGAAGCCTCTGGTGTCTGATGACTCAGAATACCACCTTCACATCACCTGACCTTTTAATCTTTAATAGCATTTCCTTTGGCCCCAGGCCTACATAATAATCAATAAGGTTTGTTAGACACAGCGGGTTTGTAAATGCAACATAACAGGTATCAGCGGCCTCACATATCAATGGGTATAAAATATACATACATGACACCATTAACAGACACGATTTCTCCCTTTCAGGCTTAGAGTGCACTACTGGCAATTGCTTTAATTCTGTCACTGACATATGGACAGATATGGGTGCCCGCTTGATCAAACGTACCACAGTCAGTGTTTCTTCTCTTGCCGTTTTGGTGCCCTCAGTCTCGTAGCTTTCTGTGGCATCTGTCAGTTATTCATTGAAGAGGCCCTTTCAGCATTCACAATGTTTGAGGTCGTCTTTGGTTGGCACCTGGGAGAAGTAACACAGGGAAGCATGAGGAGGAGAAGACAGAGTGAATCTGTCAGTGAAATGGTTTGCATGCATGTCTATGCACTATGCATGATTCATGTTAACATCTACTCTACTGTGTGTGTGCGTGGTGTGTGTGTATTTGCTTGTTTTCATGGCCATATGAAATATGGAAAAATAAAAGAGGGAGTTGGATTGAATATATTTGAATGGTGAAAAATCATTAAACAAGGCAAACATTGGCTCATGCATATTCATACATGGCTGACTTGTCTACAGAGAAAAACTTATAGTGAAGGCATGCTAACAGCATCATCCAGTACTCACACATTTAATCCAAAGTAGAGAGAACCTACTGGAAATTTGCTCTTGAGACTACTGAGCGGAGGTCTATGGCTAAATCTAAATATAGTAGAAATAGCTCAAAGTGTTATAGCTAGGTTATTATTATATTGTGCTGTTTTTCAGAATAAAAATAAAATTTGGTACACAATCAGCGCAGGAAAACAAGCAGAGTTTACTGTAGGTTAGATAATTTAGGTTGTGGCATTTGTGCTTTCTTGAGCCAACGTGTTTTCTCTATATAATTAAAGTAGATTATCAGTTTCTTGCCATCTGAAACTTTCCTAACTTAACTCATTAGCCATTGTCCTTCCCTCCTACTCTTAGAAACATTCAATCCTGAACTTGTGTTTTGAGAGGTATGAGTGTGTGTTCAAGTGTGGGTTGTCAGTCTCATCAAAGCCGGGTGGAAAAAAAAATCAACAGCTTGCCAAAACAATTATGTAATTTCAAATATGTCACAGTGTGTATACACACACTTTAGGCTTTTGGATAAATGCAATTTTGTGAGGTTTGGCTTCAGCTGTGCATAAAAAAGAGAAGAGGGGAAGCTGTGACTGGATTTTAAGTCAAACACATAAGTGCGGTTTGCTGATATTGATCTTGCTTGGATTGTTTCTTAAGCCTCTCCTGGCAGTCATTTCACAGCATGTTTCTCAAGCACACACGCTCACACACACATTCGCAGAACAGCTCGCCTGAAAAAAAAAAAAAAAAGTGTGTGTTTTTTTGTAACGGAGGGAGAAAGAAAGGAATGCCTCTCTCAAGCAGAAGATAAAGACAAACACATTTCCAGGGCAAACAGGAACAGCCCAGGCTCAGTGCAATCTGTTGTCAATCATGCTCACGTGAAAACACAATCTGCCTGTCATAGTAGATGATGTTGTCAAGCACTCTGCCTCACTGCTCCTGAGAATTAGCCAGCTACTACAGAAGAACCACTAGACACAGGGAGTATTTGTTTTATGTCAGATCTGTCTGTGGATGTTTCCAGCTTTATTTGGTATTTACCTCTTTCAGTCGTTCTTCCTGCATTCATTCCCCGCTGAATTCGAGAGACGCTTGGTGTTTTGACACTATGTGTTTACTGTAAGTGTATGCATTTGCAGGAGTCTGTAATACTGTCCATTCATTTTAGATCAGTTTCCCCCCCCCACACACACACACATTTAAACCTTACCATCTTACATTCATCCTTTGTTGATCTTAACAGATGATATCCATATTGTACAGGATTTAATCAGTCTGAACCCCTGGGTACTGTTCTCAGGCAAAACATAGTTTAGGCTCTCGTACTTTGTATTTGAGACAAGAGACATTTCCCTGCTGATCTGCACTTGGTCTGTGTGTCAGTCATCCAAAGCATTATATTACACATGAGTAAAGCTCCTTATTAAAAAAGGTTTATAATGAAACTCAAAGGGCAATATCACCAGTAATTATAGTTGCAGGAATCGTACTACTGTACAGTATAATTATGGCAACAAAGGTAAGAAAATCATTTTTAATTAACTGAAATCGTATATTCTCATATTACAAAATATATAAAACCAAGAAACTGTTGGTTCTTGGGAAGTATTTATTTGTACACTGAAATGAGCTTTGTAATATAAAAGTGCCATTCCATTTTCTAAATTTAGCTCACAGGCAATAATATCTTGATAATTGTACAACTGAAGGAAAGCAGTAAAGCAGCACACCTATAAGCTGTTTTTTGAATGGAGACCACACGTACAGTGTTTCGTGTTAACTGTCTTAAAAAAAAGTTATATGTCTGTCAACATGGCATTTTGCTGTACATATACATAGTTTGTTCCTCCTGGACCTTTAGGTTAATGAGTGTATAACTGTAAATATAACATATTTTGTAAATATGTTGCTATGAAAATTGCTGTCACTTACAGTAATTTTATTTTCAACTTGGACAATAAAAGATGCCATATCTCTCATACATACAAAGCCGCTGCAGTAAGTTTGTCTGTAGCAGCTTAGGTCAGCTGTTATTCAAAGCAAAGCTAAAAAGAAATTTAAAAAAAACCATACAAAGTATTAATTTCAACAACACAGTATTTCTGTGTGGTTTGGCCATTAACTGTCTGACTACCATGAAATTCATTGTTCCATTTAATGTGACCTTACAGTTCAGTTCCAGAACAGCACCCTGTTGGGTCAGACCATACAAAACTCGACTGAAATAACTTGAATGAGGTAATAAAGTCGGAAACCCTCGGAAACTATAAAGGCAATATAGCGACCCCTTACCTCCAGTAGCAGTATCAAATGAGAGACTTGGTGATTTGCTTGTGCCATGTTTACCAACAGTATTCTGTCTGTACACCTTTTATGCATTATGGATGAGGCACAAGCTGGACGACAAGCTCTCCCTTTGTTGCCTGTTTGGCGTTCCAGTTACATCACAGGGAGAACCCTAAGGTCCTGTGACTGCACTGGCTGGGTGAGACAATGCCGCTGGGTGACTTGTTGAGCTGACCTGTTGCTTCTTTGCTCTATTATACTATCATATATGTGTTAAATACCTACATTGACACTTGCTGACAAATTCACTGGTCTTTGTGATGGAAGGTTTTATTTGTCAAGCTGCATGAGATAAACTAAATACTTACGATGACTGATACGTATGTTCATTGGAAATCTAAATGAGACTTGTCACTTATCAAAGGTATTTATC